GATAGATAGATAGATAGATAGATAGATAGATAGATAGATAGATAGATGAATGGCTGGGTAGGTAGATGGATAGAAAGATGGATGAATGGGTGGGTGGATGGGTGGGTGGGTGGATGGATGAATGAATAGATGGTTGGATGGTTGGATAGGTGAATGGGTGGGTGGATGAATAAATGCATGTGTGAGTAAATAGATAGATGATAGATGAATCAATTAATGATGGATGGGTGGGTGGGTGCTCCTGAATAAAGCAAAGAGCTGGTATAAGAAGGCAGGCATCTTTAGCCCACATCAGGATGGACTGAACAAAGAACATGTTGAGTTCCTCATTGTAACCAAGGAAGCAACAGTGTTTAAAATAACTCAGGTAGGACTGCATCTGTTTGGCTTGTTTCACTTTCTTCTTTGGATTTTATTTAATTTCATTTATTTAAAAGAAAGAACTTTCGTCAGGCAGTGGTGGCACATGCCTTTAATCCCAGCACTTGGGAGGCAGAGGCAGGAGGATTTCTGAGTTCGAGGCCAGCCTGGTCTACAGAGTGAGTTCCAGAACAGCCAGGGCTACACAGGGAAATCCTGTCTCGAAAAACAAAACAAAAACAAAAAAAGAAAGAAAGAAAGAAAGAAAGAACTTTCTAAGGGCAGAGAACCTGTATCAGGTACTTGTACTTTAGAGGTCTCAAACATGTAAGAACGGGGTATTCTGACAGTTCAGCCATGACAACAGGCAGACAGAGCAGGCCACACAAACATGCAGGTGCCTCTGTGGGAAGAAAGACGTCCCAGGTAGGGGACAGGTGCCAACTCCAAATCTATCCCCATGAGACCCACCTGCTTGCATGATATGGGGGGCCAGTAGGGTGAAGGACATCCTGGAGACCACACCACTACAGGGCCTACACCAGCTGTCCTACTCACTTGCTCTAAAAAGAAGCATAGACGGGCAGAGTGGATGGAGCAGAGACAGTTGGAGGGCCTGATTCCACACTAGGTAGTAACCACCCTCATGGCCTGAGTGTTCCTTTTCTCCAGAATCAGGAGCACTATAGTTTTGTTAAAGCCACAGAGCTGAGAAATCACTAATGTAATTACAGTTGGTAGCTTGCATGACAGAAAGGAGACACGAATGCAGGAACGTTTCACGCAGTGTCGTGCAGAAAGGGATGGAGAGAAGGCAAGTGTGGCCGGCGTGCTGATCTGTGCCAGACAGACATCTTAAAGCCCTCAAGTTATGAGAAATCCCACTCCTCTGCTCCCACAGCTTGGGACTTGCCCCTTTGCAAATTCCCTATCTTATTGATCTGGGACACTCAGACTGCTATGTAAGAACACTAACTGCTTTTCCAGGGGATCCCAGCACCCACATGGCTGCTCACAACCTTCTGTAATTTCTCAAAGGATTTGATGCCCTCTTCTGGCCACTGTGGGCACCGGGCATACAGTTCACAGACATACACACTCATACACATAAGCTTTCAAAAAATTAGAGAAAAATCAAAACTGCTCCTCACAAACGGGCAGGGTTATTTGTAATTTTCTAACTTGGATTATTTGTAACTTTCTAACTTGGATTATTTGTAACTCTCTGACTCTGGGTTTTGAGACCAGCACACACCAGCCACCAGAGGAGAGAGGGGCTTAGTGTCACCTGCTTGTTGGTGACCCTGATGCACTCTCAAGTACACCTCAGACAGAGAACAGACCATTAGAATCCATTCCTCACACTGCTTTAGTTGAAAAACAACAGCTCAAAAATGAAACTATCACACTGCCTCCCACATAGCACGGGAGTTACTCTGTGTTCAAGCTTTGGCTGTATGCTTACAGAAGTGACCCATAAATGCCCCTTACATATCCCAACCTTACATGCTTTCCCATCGTCATCCCTAATCACACAAAAGCTCAGCACATGTGGAACGGGCGCTTCACATGGCCAAGAGACACACTGACAGTCCTGGCAATCAAGAGATGCTCAACCCTGAATTTATCCTCAAGGGCCATGGGGAGACGAGATGGCTCCTCACCTGTGGCCCTTTGTCATCCTGAGACTCAGTGGCCTGCCTTACCTGAGGGGAGGGACAGGAAGAATGGTGTGACTGAGGCTGCCCAGGATGCGAGTACCCAGAGGCAAACTCAAGATTAGCATTAGTCAAAATGGTTCCAGTCCTCCCTCTCACCTGCACTGGCAAGCAATGTCCACTTCTCTGCAGAAGCATGGTCTCCCTCCATCTAACTCAGGCCTGTTAAATTCCCTGCTAGGACGACCACGCGGCCTAGATGGGGTGGTCAGCAGGTACTTAACATTCATTACTTGTTGATTTCACCCCACCAAAGCTGCTAATTTCCAACAAGCAAAGATGTGAATCCTCAATGAAAGGAGCACCTCAGGCAGTGAAGCAAGGAGCACTGCAGGCAGTGAGGCAAGGAGCACTG